ATTGGGCTCATTTTCACAAAGGATTTCATGAAAGGAAGCAGAACCTAGTCAGTTTCACTGACTGTGAAACTCCTGGCTAGCTACTTCTTGAGTTGCTGGCAGTGTTAGTAAATCCCTGGGAGGAACACTGCCATCCTTGGCTCTGTTCCAGTCACCTGTGTGATTATGTTTCCCTGTGTAGGAAGACCCCTATGGGTGGGATCTGTACCAATCCTGCTTGTGCAGGAAGCCAGGGATTGGGCGATGAATCCCGTGGCCACCCTACCTGGGCTTCCCATGGCCCGGGGCTCTAATCAACACAAAACTTCTGCCAACGGTCCTGGGTCTCCTGCAGTAAGGAAATGCCTTTGGATTAAAATAAAGAAACTGACAATCTTTATTTTGTGCACTAACACCATCCTCTCTGAATTTAATTACAACAGAAGTAAAATTATTTTTATTAGAGAGGTGTTAGCTTTTTAAAGGGAAGGTTCTTGATGGTTTTGCAACAAATTAGATGTCTTTATTTTTTTTTTCCTGAGACAGATTCTTGCTGTGTCACCCAGGCTGCAGTGCAGTCATTCAATCTCAGCTCACTGCAACCTCCACCTCCTGGGCTCAAGCAATTCTTGTGCCTCAGCCTCCTGAGTAGCTGGGATTATGAACACGCACCACTACGCTCGGCAAATTTTTGTATTTTTAGTAGAGATGAGGTTTCGCCATGTTGGCCAGGCTAGTCTCAAACTCCTGACTTCAAGTGATCTGACCACCTCAGCCTCCCAAAGTGCTGGGATTACGGATGTGAGTCGCCGCACACGGCCTTAGACGTCTTTCAAAAAGAGTGGTTCACCCCTCGCTGTGTCATACCTGAACAGGGCAGCACAAACACTTTTAAAAAATCTTTTAAGTTGCAAGCCAGGTGCTTGAAAAGCTGTTTCGGGCACAGCATAAATTAGGGGAACAGCACAGGTTCCCCTCAGTCCCGAGTCATTTCTTGTAGGGACACCTCCATCCCCGCCAAAGACAGCTCTCCTCCATCAACCTTCTCAGAAGACAACTGAGAAGCAGGGCCGATTACAGCTCAGCGAATCTAAAACTGCTCGCTCAAAACCTTAGCTGTCCTTGCAGGAAAATCCAGCACCTACACACAACAAAAACTTGGTTTCGAAACACATCCCAAAACCAGGGCGATCGACTGCTTTTCAAGACCACACCTTGAAAACTAGGATGGATCAAGTGACACAGTCAATTCCAAGGGCCCTGCCATTACTATTGTATGAAAATATCCCCCTCACCAAGTTAATACTCTTTTGGTTGCTGGTAGAGTTTATATCTCTTAAGCGTATGCTTTTTTGGGGGGGAGGGGGGTGGAATATCTTCTCTCTGAATTCTAAATCATTATCAGGGTATAATAAAATGGACCTACATGCTCAGGTCAGTCAAGGGTTCATCAGGTCAGAAGTCACAAATGAATTCACAAATTCTTGCTATAAAAGTCATAATAATGCTGTTTTTCAATCGCTTGTCTAACTATGCCATTAGATTCCCTTTTCACTCCATTATCTGCGCGCGCGCACGCACACACACACACACACACACACACACACACACATTCTCTCGGCATCTAGACATTCACAAGTATCCAGTTCCTAAAACGCCCAGCATGACTGCTTCGTCCAGGTAAGTAACAGTGGGACATAAGGAGAGGCTGTGGGGCCCCTCTTCAAATAGCTTCGACAAAACGAATGGCTGTAAGTGAAAAGTGTCCCTGGGCTTTGCTATAAAAAGACTCAAACATGGGATTCCAAGAATTCCACCTGTTTCCAATTAGATACCAGAATTGCTTGAGTGTTTAAGCTACATTCGCTTGCTACTTACACAAAACAATTCTTCCGGGTTTTTTGAACATTTTAAATACGTTAAAATAAGATTAAGGGTCTGGTTTAAACAATCGGAGGCAGGGAAATTTGAGTGGAAACCAAAACTCTCTCTCTGCAGCGATAACTCGGGGCTTCAGACAAAACAAAAGGACAAGACAGACAAATTTCTGTCTTTGACAATTACTAATAGAAGTCACTTTTCATGGGGAGAGCAATTCTATTTTTTAAAGTTATATATTCAGTAATTTTAAATAGGTCTTCAGTAATTTCTACAATAACTCACTATCCTATATATCCGAATAACGGTTAGAGTTGCCTTTTGTAGCATTTGTGTTATAATTGGTCAGATAGAGCCGGCTGTGAAATTTACATGTGACAAATGTGTAAACTATTTGAAATGGAAAAAGCACCAGTAGGAATTTAACGTACCTCTGTAGGATTCTTCATACGGTGAATTTCTGTGTTTATGAAATTTACAAGTTTTCCCCTAACAAATGTGTCCTTCCTACATTTCACTACAAACAGACGTTCCTGGAGCATTACAGAGGAGCTGAAACGAAAGTAGATTTTTCTACTTCCAGCCTTGTTTTCTCCCCTAAGACACCGAGAGTGAGTTCAGCCTCAGGACCGGTTTTGATTGTTCACTGCTACAGGTAGACCCCGAGGGGAATCAGAGAGCACAAACTATTGTTTCTGCAGATACCCTATAAACCCTAATGGGGTTTGTCTTAATTGTACAGCAACAGGAGACTTAAAATAGCCATTAAAGGTCTTAGGCTCAGCACACTTCACCAGACTGCATATTAAACATTACCTCAGTGGATTAGGAGAGAATCATTCCTAAAGGTATTGGACTATTTGGCCCTTTCAACTTTCTCAGGTTGGCTAACTACCCACAGAAGACACATGAAACTGACACTGTGGTCAAAGGGGTCTCTGTGGACTCAGCCGCACCAGGAGTTGTTGCAATAACGCTATCCCTTCACCAACTTGCACCTTTAAGGAAGAAAAGAGTTTCACATAGAAAAAAACTTAAATCAACTGCCAATAACCCCTTCCCTCATCCAACGTCAAAGACACCCATATTAAAAGAACCAAGAAAACAAAAACAGGAGCAGCAGCAGTGTAATTTCTTGAATCGTTATTTTATAAAGGGTACTAGGTGGGACATTTTAGTTAAAATAATATACTTATTATGGCGAGCAGTACTGGACAGCCAGTAACATACACATTTCCACAACACGGGAAAAAGCCATCAGAAAACGGACTTTCAGCAAAACTGAAATTGATTTTTGATTCCGAAAAAGAAGGCAACTTTGAAAGCTGACTTGTTCAGAGGCTGCTTAAAGGGGAAAGCTGGTCACCATGTGGGAAGGCAGTCACTGGCAGGCCCCATCCCAAAGAGTTCAAAACGCCACTGACATACAGAGTGCCACGAGCTTGTCTTAGTAAGCATCCTCTTTTCAAATATGTATTTAGAAGACAAATTTATGCAACGGTGCTTTTCTTATTTAAAAAGAAAACCCTGGTTTTTACAAGTCTGAGATAGGATAAAAAAACTTGTCCAACTAGTCTTAGCAATGCCACAGCAGTGAAACTTCCATACCACGAGCCTTTGAGAGTCAAAAAGAAACAGAATAAAACACAATCTTCAGAAACTCTCTTCCTGAGCACTCACTCCTGTGCCAAGGCGGCAGCTTCAAGACGCAGGAAGCCGCGGGAGAAGAACCTGGCCACCCTGGCTCACTGGGTGGCTGCAGAGCTCCAGAGCTGCCCAATCTCACCTGGACCAGCTGACATCTCCAAGCTGGATTTGTCTCTGCTGAGACCACTCAGCCTCTTTACCCCCAGGTGGCAACCCGATCTCAGTATAAAGAGGTCTGGAAAGATGAAAAGAATCTGAAACTAATGAATTCTCTCTCAAACTGTCTCCTATTGGCTCACCGACTGTCGGTGGGAATTAGCCAGACACCACTCCAAAGGCCTCCTCAGGGACCAGAGAAAGAACCAGATTGGCCTTAGACTTGAACTTTGACATTCCATATTCAATCGAAGTTTGCAAACCCATAGGAAATCATCTAAGGCCAAACCGTTAGCAAACACCAAAAGCAAAGGAGTGCTCAGTGAAAGAGGAACGACGTTCAGATAAGGGATTTTGTTTTCGGGTTTGGTTTTCTTTCCTATTTATAGATATTAAGAAGAAAGTGCAAGTAAACGGACGTGGAAACTTTCCATGGAATCCTGGAGCTCTGAACCCCTGAAGAAGTAGCTAATATGGGGGACAGTACCGTTTACAGAGTTCTTCAAATCTAGTAACTCTAGAAACCAAATCCATTTTCCAGGCAGTTTTGCCAGGGTGCTCAAAAAAAGAAACTCCATTGATATTAAGCTAACAATGTCATATTTAGGAAGACAAGAGGGAAAAAATAACAAGGTTTGTCTCTTTAAAACTCTACAACGGGTTTTACAGTAAGCACAGGAATTAAATTATGGTAAAAGGGAGCTATTTTTACTAAAACAAGGTAGACCAATTTATCAAAAATGCCATTGGGCTGTGTTCATTACATCCAGGAATCTAATTTACACAATAGACACTTTGGAGTAATTTATTTTAGTCAATAAATACTCAGACTCCTTTAAGTTTTAATCTTATCGGAAATACATATTTCGCATAGTCTTCTTCCTAGTTAAGCGAGAAATTTCAGGAAATTTCATAACGACTATGACTCGGCTTTATCGTTCTTACGTAGGCAAGAGCAGAAAAAACGCATATACAATTAAAGTTGTCAGATTCTATTTAAATATGTTTTAATCCAACCCGCTTCGTTTCATACAAGCCTGCATCTCGAGTTCAGCTGCTTTGCTCCCAAAGGTAATGCTGTAGGTTACTGTCATCAGTCAGTCCTCCAGGTTAAGAAAGTTCAGCCAAGTTTACCTTCAAGCACACCTTAGCAGACGGAGCAGTAGCGGTTCCCCAGGGGCCTTGCGGAAACCTCCTATCCCTCCGAGAGTGCCAGGCCGCCCTGGGCCATTCTAAGCCGCGGGACCCAGGCACCCGCCCCCCCAACACACACACACACACATATCCCCGGTTCCCCTCGCGCCTGCAGTCTCGGGGCTTCTGGCCCACAAGCAGCTCACCTTCAACTTGGCTCCGGCTACGCACAACATCCACCTGGCAGAGTCCCGGGGCTGTCCGGGCGCCGCGGGCGCCGAGCTGGCACGTGCGGGGCGGACCCTAAGGGCGCGCGGCACCTCCGGGCGGGGGGTGGCAGGCGGGCACTCGCCCCCTGGGCACAGCGGCGGCGGCTCGGGCGCGGGCCGGGGAGCCCCGGCAGTGTCCCCGCGCGGCGCCCGGGACTCCGAGCGCGGACCACTGCCCGGTACGGTAAGATCCCAACGGGCCCCCGCGGCTCTGCTTTCGAGAACCCGGCCCGAGAAGGCATCTTCGAGCGCACCCGCCGCGCGCTCCATGGTGGGCCGTGCAGAGAGGGCAGAAGCCCCGCGGGGAGGCCAGGAAGGGAGCTGGAGTCGCAGGTCACCGGGGGCCGCTGGAACCCCCTGGCGCGCGGCTTTCGCCGCCCGCACCGGCGGTGGGGAGGCAGCGTCCCCCGCCTGGGCACCCGGGGAAACAGCGCGGGGCCTGCGCTCGGGGAAAGTTGCAATCTCCTTCGTCCGTGCCCGCACCCGGCGGTCCGGGACACCGCGACCCAGCGGCACCGCGCGCCGGGCACCCCTGCCGCCCCTCGCCAAGTTTCCCCAAAGCGCCCCCGCGGGGGTCCCCGGTCACCGAGGGGCAGGTCCCCGCCACCAACACAGGCACACAAAAGAGCGGGGCAGACGCGAGGTGCGCTGGGGGCCCCAGGGCGCTCCCCGGGACGTAAACAAACCCGGGGGTCCGCGCCGGGAGCCACGCGCCGGGTGCCGGAGCGGCGGCGCGGCCAGGGCCAGTGACAGCCGGGGACAACGGCCGCGGCCGGCCCGGGGTAGGGAGCGCGGGCGCCCGCCCGGCCACCAGCCCGCCTGGCCGGAGCCGGGCCGCGCCGCCGCCGCCGCCGGTGGCTGCTCTGACCCTCCCCCGAGCCGGCGGCACCACAGCGCCACCAGCCCCAGCTCCGCCGCGCCGGCGGCAGTGGCGGCGGCTCCTCCTGGAGAGGCAGGCGCTTCACCCCCCGCAGCAACTCCCCACAAACTTTCCCCGGGAATACGGCGGGCCGGGGGCGCGGGGCGAGCTGGCGGGCGGGCGCCACCACCGGGCCGCGGCCCCCTCCCGGCGCCCGCCGCCGCCCGCCCCCCGCCGCCCGCTCCCCGCTCCCCGCTCCCCGCTCGCGCGCGCGCCCCGCGGGCCGCCGGGGCCGCCCCCTCCCCGGTCCCGCGGCGGCAACGGCGGCGGCGGCGCTGGCGGCGGCCGCGGCGGCGCGGGGCCCGGGGGGGCGCCCGGGGTGGGGGCAGACACCGGGGGCAGCGGTGGCGGCGGCGGCTCCCGGCGCCATCTTGGGCTGATCGATGAATTGAACAAAGAGGATCAATTTCCGATCAAGCGAGTGATCAATGGGGGCCGGGGAGCGGGAGGGACTCGGCCCCGACTCGGCCCCGCGGCGCCCGGCACCCCCCTCCTCCCCGCCGCCGCGGGCCCCCCGGCGGCGGGGCCAGCCCGGGGCCCCCGGCGGAGGCCGCGACCGCCCGCAGCCCCCACCCCCGGGCGCGAGGCCGAGCGCGGAGGAGCCTGACCTGCAGCTGCTGTAAATCAAAGCGCTTCCAATATTGAAACATCGATCCCACATTGGCCGCCATCTTGAGACATATTGAGACGGAGTGAGCGGCTGATAGAGAGGGGGCTGGAGTTCAGGAGCCGCCAGGAGGCAGCAGGCGGGCGGCGCCAAAACCCGGCCTGGAGCCGGCCGCCGCCGCCGCCACCGAGGACGCGGACTCCTCCTCACGGCGCCGCCGCAGCCATGGCGAGCCCGAGCCGGAGCCGGAGTCGCAGCCCCAGGGCGCGGCGGCCGCGGCCTGGCCTGGTGCGCCGCCCCGGCCCCTGCTCCCTCAGCCCCTCACCGCCGTCCTTCCCCTCCCCTCCGCGGGCCGGCCGGCGACCCCCGCCCCTCGGGACACCCCCCCCCACCCCAGTCCCGGGTCGCGCCGGCCACAGACCCGGCCCCGAGGGGGCGCTGGAGGGCAGCGCCCGGGCTCCCCCGGCACCGCGCACCTGGGGAGGGCCGGGGGTCCCCTGCAGGGGTCGCGGTCGCCCTCAGTGGCCGAGCGCAGCGCCCTCGGGGCTCCGGTTGGGGGGGTACGTTGGTCGTTCTGGTCCAGAGCGCGGAGACGCCGCGACCACCTGCCCGGGGCCCCCCCACACCCGACCCCTACGTGGCCCAGGCCCCCCGCAGCCGCGCGCGTGGGAGGCGCCCGGGCGGTGGACGGCGACACTCCGATCTCTCTGCACCCAGCGAGGACGAGGACACCGAGACGACCAGGAACGGCGTCGCATGTTTGGAGGAGTGGAGTTGGGGGGAAACAGCCCTGACCCTCTCAGGGCGCCGCGCGCTTGGATGCCCCACGCCCGGGCCGCGGCGATGCCGGCTTCTCGCCCGAAAGCACCGCAACGGCGGTGGCGCCGGGGGTCCAGGCAGCCCCCATTCGCCCAAGCCGCTGCAGTTTAGGCCACCACAGGAAAAGTCTGGGAGCCCAGTTCTGTGTCCCCCCGCGCCGCTTCAGCGGAACAGCCCAAGAAACTTCCTGTGGTTCAGACACCTTGGTTTGTTGCAACTTTGGGCGCAGAAAGTTTTGGAAAGTGTGGGTGCACTCACTGAAAACGGAAAGCGTGGTCCTAAGTTTACAGAAATGCTAAAATGCAAACCAAAAACTAAATTCTCGTTTCTCTCCTGGCGGAAAGCTGGCGAAAGAGCACGCTTTATGATCGTCATCTTTCATACACACGTGTGACTTGGAGTTTCCAATAGGAATACTGTACTTTGACCCTCCTGCAGTTATTTAACGAGTAATTAGTCAAAACAAGTCCCCAAATTCCTTAATCCCGAAATGCATATGTAAATAAAATCTGTAGAGGATACAAAATAAAACGCGCAAATGGAAAATAATTGCTTTTCAACTGAGGTCGAGGGTTGGCGCAGTGAATTCGGCATTTTTGGAGGAAGAGGTTGGAAATGAAAATCCCAAGATTTAGAGAACACTCGTGTCCCCAGGTCTTGCGCGGCTGGCCAGGGGCCTCCGTTTCTCGAAAGGGAGGCCCCTGACGTCGGGAGCGGGGTTCACTAAGTCCCCAGCACAACCTTGACTCGCAGGTGGGTGGGAGCGCGCGGGCGTCGGAGGCAGGTCGCGAGCCTCCACCCCAGATGCGGTGACGCAGCGCAGAGCGGGGCACTGAGGATCTCGGGTGTCCTAGGGCTGTCTCTGCTCGGGGCGCCCCATCCCGCGCGTGCAGTCAGCCGGCGACCGCGCTGTAGCTCCGACCGCGCCGCCCGGTAGAGGGCAGCGGCGCCCCGGCACTCGGGTCCTCGGGTCCCAGCGCACGTGCCCACCGGCGCGCCCAGGCCCCCGCGCTTAGCCACGCCCTGTCCCGGAGTCTGGGTCCTGGCGGGAAGCGGCATTGCCTCCGCGGGACACTCCTGTCCCAGGGAAATGTCACTTCTTAATGATGCCTCCACACTTGGGGTGGCAGCGGGGGTGGGGGGGATGCTCCTGCCTTCCCCTCGCATGTCTATTTCTGCGGTGGCAGGCAAGCGAGACCTAGGAATTGCCCTAAAGGTGGCTAGACAAATAAAATGTGCAGGGGCTTAAAAGGAAAAAAAAAAAAAAAGAAATCCCTCCCATGGGGAAGGCTCAAGGAAGGATCAGGGAAATGGTTTGAATTTGATGCAGATGTTCTCAATCTAATTATCGTGTAGATCCCCTGGTTTGAACCAAAAAAGTGAAATATATATGACCTGTGTAATACTCCCGAAATACATCTGGTTGGAATTCAAGATTCTGAATCTATGGCAATATTTTAGAAATAAATTTGATGAGTATTAAATACCCCTGTTACATTTCTGGTTATATTTATATTATTTACATGCTAACCTGACTTAGTACAGACACAGCATATTGGATGGCCCAGAGGTTAAGCTCTATTTAAATAAAATGTAGATTTCTCCCACCAAAGCTTTGGGTTACATAAACCTTGTTACTCTCTGCAGGGGTGGTGGTGTTGGGGAAGGGGGGAGTGTAGAATAATTTTCACCAGCACCACAAAACGTTTTATTTTAAAAAGAAAATCATTCAAAATAAATCACTGATCAAAAGTTATTTTAGTTGAGTGAAACAGCAGAGACCTAAAAAAAAAAAAAAAAAAAAGCCTTTTAAAGTGCACTTTATTTTTCTTGAGCAAGTATAGACACAGAATAAAAGCAAATTGTATCTATTTCCAAAGACTATTTTGTTTCTTTTTTATTTTTTCAGATTGACTTTCACCCTCATCATTGTAAAAACCTGAGCGTACCCACTGGCAGAGTGAATCTACAAAGCTATACACTGTATACAATATTTAGAAAACATTTTATAGGTTTTAGGACTTAGATTTCCAGGGACACCTACAAAGCTAGTACAGTAATGTCTGTGACCTCTCAACCCAGTGTGTGAGAGGCAGGTAAGTTCTCAAGATAAATGGCCCAGTACCAAGAAATACCTCGGCTCTTGGACATGTAATTAATATTACTTAGAATGAAAAACAAGAAAAAAAAATCCACAGGCATTTGGTCACTTTTTGGCACTCAGGCTCACCCTTTAGGAGACGAAATCTCCCATTTCCCAAGTATATGACCAATTTGCCACCCCAGGCTTTCCAATCAATCCCCCAGTCATCCGATGGAGGAACTGACCCAAAGGATGTTCGTTCCTGACGCCTTTAAATGAAATATAGCTTAGCACCAAATAACGTAGCTAAATAACTAATATTTGAGCCCAGAATTCTTTTTTTTTTTGAGCCAAGAATTTATTAAATTTCTTTTCTAGCCCTTTTTATTTTGCCTAAAAAGCATTAAGTAGCCACATGGGGGATGTACTAATACTAACTAGTTTAACTTACAGAAAATTGTAAGTGCTTTTAAGAGTTCTTTCTTTCCTGTCCTTCTGACACCAGTGGATTCTCCTTTCCCTGACATCCACATATACTTTATTAAATCCATTAAGGTAAAAAAAAAAAAAAAATTGTCAAATTCTCCAAAATATGGGTCGATCACTACTAAACTGGCCCTCTTTTGGTAGCCCCAAGAAATGAAAATGTGTCTCGTTGTTTTCTAAAGATTCAAATTTAGAAGGTGTTCTGTTATACTTCACCTAATTCTTTAAAGGGATTAACTATCAAGAATTTCTTCCAAATTGAAAAATGTCTTACACTGGAAGTCATTATTTTAAAAATCCATGTTCTTTATCCCATATAAGAGTCTTTGATTATGGACTCATACAATTTTCACCTAAAGTTAAGAAACTTTATCCCCAAGAAAAGTTGGGGAATAATCTACAGATTTTACCAAACTACAAGGAAAATAAAAAAACTCAGAAATCAGATATACTTCAAAGGAAAAATCAAGAGGTTCATTCTAAAACCTTAATCTATTTTCTGAATTTT